ATAATTTGTTTTTCTTTTCTCAATTAAAATTAACTAAACAATAGAAAAGTTTATATTATTACACTGACATATATCATGATCTTAGCACAATACACGTCACGATCTCGTGAATAAAAATTTTACATACATGTTGAGAGATTAGCTTTATATAATCAGAGGTATGCATGTACTGAAAATAAACTTTAGATAGTTTAAGTTTTGTAATATTAGGTCGTTCCTGCGCAGGCCGCAGGTTTCAAAATATTATCAAATTGATTATGTTTTATTAAAACCATTCAGGAATGCTTTTTTCTTTTAAATGTATAAAATTCATTTTCAAAGGCTCTCTGATCATGATCATGGAGTTTTTGTCAAAAGATATGGTAATATATCCACTCTTTTTCAACACTCTTTGTAATTGTATATGTAAATGTGTAATTAGAAGTTGATTCGCTTGTAAATTTTTAATTTATTGAGAATAATGTATATACCAATTAAAGAAAAATCCACATGATTTGTAAGAAACTTAAAAACAGAGCAAATAATCTGAAACAAATAATAAGAGCATCTAGAAAATAACCATTATTCAAAAATGTAAAACAAAACATTATGTTATTAATCAAATAAAATTTAAATAATCATTTGAGACATACATGAAAATAATAAAGCAAACCAAAAGAATAAACACGATTCAAAATTAAAAAATTAAATGCAATAGTAAATACTTGTATGAAACTCACAAACCAAGTGAATTAAGACAAACACGAGTTCTACATAATCGTTTGTCATCTTCTTCTTTTTTCCTTCTGATTTACCTTTTGGTGTTTCTTCTTTGTCGTCTTTTTTTTTCATCTTTTACCACCTTTATCTCTCCTTCTTCTCTCCTGTTATCTTCTTCATTTATCTCATTTTTAAAATTTATTCTTCAAGTTTTCTTCTTCTTTCTCCTCTTTATTCTCTATTTCTTCTTTACTTCTTATTCTTTAGTTTTTTCTTGGTCACACCTTCTTTTTCTTCGTGTTTTCCACACCTTCTCTTCATCATCTTCCTCTTCTACTTTTTCTTCTTCTTCATAACCTTTATCTTCTTTGTTCTCTGAGATTTCATGTTCTTCTAGTTTACCTTAATCTTTTATATCAATCAATTACATCTACCTTAAAACTTTAACTTTCTCTCTCTCTCTCTATGTCCCTCCCTGTCATTCGCTCTCCCTCTATCTCTTTCCATCTTTCTCTCTAACTATCTCCATTCCTCCCTTGCCCGATATTGTATATATCATACATTTTAAAGAACGAAGTGTTTCTGATTTTTTTTAAAAATTTGTAACACAAAAGTGATAAACTAAAGATTTAATAACAATCAATTATATGCACTTTGAAGATTTAACTCTTTATCCCCTCTCTTTCTCTCTCTCTCTCTCTCTCTCTCTCTCTCTCTCTTTCTCTCTCTCTCTCTCTCTCTCTCTCTCTCTCTCTCTCTCCATATACATGTCCTTGAAAGGATTAACTCAATTTATCCCTCCCTTCTTTCTCTTTATCTTCTCTATCCCTCTATCACTCCCTCCATTCCTCCCTATCATTCTCTCTCTCTATCTCTCTATCTCTCTCCCCCTTTCATCTATTTCCATTTCTTGTTCTCCATCTCTCCCCCAATCTCTCTTATTCTCGATCTCCATCCACCCCTCCTCTAAAATTGTTATATCATATGATTGAGATAACTACATTTAAAGTATAATTTTGTCTCCCTCGCTCCATCCACTCTCCGTTCATATCACTATTTTATCTCTCTCTCTCTCCTTTTCTCCCCCTCGATCTCTCTCATTCTCGCTTTTCGTCTCTCCTTACTTTGTTGTTCTAACTTGTATATCTTACGATTGAGATACCTTTAAAGTACAATGTGTTTCACCCATTTCTCTCACTCTTTCGCTCTCTCTCTCTCACTCCCTTCCTTTTCCACTTCTTTTATCGTTGTCCCTCTATCCCTCTCTTCCCATCCCTCCTTCGCTCTCCATCCCTCCTTTATCTCTCATCTCTCCCCCTCCCTATTTCTTTTCCTCTCTTTCTCCCTCCCTTTCAGTCTCGCCCTATCTCTCTCGTTCTTCCCCCCTCCCTCTCTTTCCCTCCGGTTCTTTCTTTCTCTAACCTGGCCTCCATCTCTCTCTCTCTCTCCTCTCTCTCTCTCTATTGATCTCTGATTCCATATCAATCTCTACCACTGCTTTGACTAAGTCATTACTCAGTCAGTCAGAGACAAGTCATGTTTTCCTCTTCATCTTCCTCTTTCCATTTTTCTTCTTTTTCACCGCCTTCATCTTTTTCATTCTCTGCGACTTCAAATTCTTCTGATTTATCTTAGTCTTTTATATTAATCAAATACGTGTACCTGAAAATTTTAACTTTTCCCTCTCTAGGTCTCTCCCTATCACTCTCTCTTTCCCTCTCTCTCTCTTTCAGTTTTTCTATCTAACTATATCCCTTACTCCCTTGTCCTAAATTGTATATATATCATACGTTAAACTACAAAGTGTTTCTGATTTTTTTTAAAATTTGGAACACAAAAGAAACGAACTAATAGATATTTAATCAAAATCAGTTATATGTACCTTGAAGATTTAACTCTTTATCCCCTTTCTCTTTCTCTCTCTCTCCATCTACATGACCCTGAAAGCATTAACTCAATTTCTCTCTCCCTTCTTTCTCTTTATCCTCTCCATCCCTCTGTCCTTCCCTCCATTCCTCCTGATCATTCTCTATCTATTTCTCTCTCCATCTCTCCCCATATCTCTCTTACTCTCGCTCTTCATCCCTCCCTCTTCCAAAACTGTTTATATCATATGGTTGAGATAACTACGTTTAAAGTACGACTCTATGTGTGAGACCCCGCTCCCTTCTTCTCTTCCGGGAACCAGACGGGCCGGCTATCAAATCCAAGAGACCCTGATCTCGTCTTTCATCTGGATTGGCTATCAACAACTCTGAACGCCCCCAACTGCACCTACCAGTGAGCCCAACGCCATATACTCTAGGGTCCAACGTCCTCTCTCTCTAGGCCCGTTGGCCCACCAACCGCCCCTACCAGTGAGCCCAACGTCTTCTCTCTTAGGCCCGTTGGCCCACCACTGTCTGATGGTTGGCCTCTTTCTAGACCCATGGGCCCACCCCTGTCCGACGGTCGGGAGTCGCTTGGTCTGGGAGGCTCGTAAGAGTTGTCTACTGTCTCTGCAATCACCACGTGATCTTTCTCCGTGCTTTGTCCTCACTCGCACGGTACCGCAGACTACTTCTCGGTAGGTTACCCATCCTGAGATTGCTCCAGCATTAGCACGCTTAATTCTGGAGTTCTTGATAACACCGTATTTTGACCACTTTTGTGGATCGTTTTGAAATACTTTTTCTATGTTTTCTATTGCTTTCAAGTACTTTTATTATGTTTTTTTTAGTATTTGTAGTTCCAAGACACTTTTAAGGAAATTTAGGGAAAAGCCTAACAAAATGGATTGAAGACCAGATTTTCAGCTCAGAGTCAAACCGTCAGAAGTTCACCCCCGATTGAAGACCTTCTCACCGTCTGATCCAGCTTAAATTTGGAGATCTCAAAGATGGAACTATCAGCTTTCCAGCACACTTTACAGCTTGGCAATCCAACGGTTCAATCAAAATTTACACAAAGAGGAAGATGTCTCGTAAACTAGCCGGCAAGCATTTCCATCCGCGGCCAACAGCCATTTCACCATGGTCAGAGGCTACCCGACGGCCAGCCAACTCCGAGTTAGAAGGCTCATTTCTGAAGCCCAAATCCTTTTCTCAGCCTCAATTCCTGATATGTCTATAATTTGCATCATTTAGGCTGTATTTTCTCATCCTCAATTCCTTATTCACACTAGACCAAATCTTGCATTCTCCGTTGGATTTTTAAGCAGGTACATGCAAAACCTGAGAGAATCACATGGGACAGCATTGAAACAAGTTCTGCGGTATCTTCAAGGGACGCTAAATTTTGGGTCTGTCATTCAAGAAAGATGGAGCACAGAAGATCGTTGGTTATAGCGATAGTAGTCATAACGTGGATCCTGATGATGGAAGAAGCACCACCAGGCATGTGTTCTACTTTGGCGAGTCCCCAATAACATGGTGTTCACAAAAACATGAGAGAGTTGTCTTATCATTTTGGGAAGCTGAGTTTACGGCTGCCACTGAAGATGCAAAACTAGCGATATGGTTACAAGAGTTGCTGAGAGAAGTCACTGGAAGGAAGCATGAGAAGATAGTGATCCGTATTGACAATAAATCGGCTATTGAGCTCACTAGGAATCCAGTATTTCACGGATGAAGCAAACATATCCATAAGCGCTACGATTTTATTCGAGAATGTGTCGAAGTTAATCAAATCGAAGTTGAGCATATTCCAGGAGAAGAGCAATGCACAGACATTCTTACCAAAGCCCTTGCAAGGATCAAGTTTAAGAAGATGAGGATTCTTATTGGAGTTCAAGATCTCTCAGATAGCAACTTGAAGCCTAAATATCTCATTAACAAGTTGGTGAAGAGATAAGAGGCAAAACCCATTAGGATTAGGAGATTATCTATTTCTAAGAAAAGGAAAAACAATGTTGTGTTTATCTATAAATACCTTTGTCGAGTTTGTGACAAAGCTTTCTCATTAACAAGTTCGTTAAGAGATAAGAGACAAAACCCATTAGGACTAGGAGATTATCTATTTTTAAGAAAAGGAAAAACAATGTTGTGTTTACCTATAAATACCTTTGTCGAGTTTGTGACAAAGCTATGAGTTGTGGGAGTTTAGTTTCTGAGAGATTTTTCTAAACTTAATAAAGAGAGATTGTCTTTAACCTTAAGCTTATTACTACTTTATAATTTACGCAGATGCTGCTTCATTTCATTTCGCGAAGCATATGTAATTTGTCGAGACTCCAGAGAAATTCTTTTGACACTGAACAATAGCACTAAATTTTTGTTTTACAACATAGAACACAGATTTCCGTATGAACCAACAATACACCGTTTTGACAAGATAAATTACTTATTCCTCGTCGAGTTTGTTTCTTGATTAAAGAAAGACCCGATTTACAGTGCACAAAATAAAACCATTTACATCAAAATACACTTGTTTAAATGTAGTCCTTTCTGAAAGCGAAGCTCCAGAATATGAAGCAGAAACCGTGAATTATGTGTTTTGAATCGGTAATGAACTCAATTATGTGACTTCTTCTTTGACAAGAACATAAAAAACCGTGGGAACGAAAGCTTCTTCTTCTTCTTTCCAGGCTTCGTCGGTGGGAATTGATTGGTTTCAAAGTTATCTTCTGTTCCATCTGACTCACTTGGGCTGGAGGCATAAACAGCAGTCCCAGGTGATTGCTCCAACTTACTTAGCTCATTTTCTCCTTCGGAGGTTGCTCTCTGAATTCTCTCAGTGTTGACTCCATCACCAGCCTTTCTCTTCTGTTCATGCTCTGCCCTCCACTTCCTCAGCTCTTGTTCCACCCCCAACTTCCCCTCTTTTGCCTTCTCAGCCTTTTCGGTTGCTTCTTTTAGAGCTTTCTTTCTTGCATCCATGTGCCTGTTCACTTCTTCCAGCTTCTCCAAGCTTCTCATTTCGGTTTCTTTAGCTTCCTCGATCTGAGAAACCACTTCTGCTACTCTTGCGTTTGCCAGTTCTTCTGCGTCGTGAGCACGTTTGCTGAGCTCATAGTATTCTTCTAGTGAAAGTGTAACGCTTCGTGGAGAATCAATGTCATTAGCCTTCAATGTTGATTCGCTCTCTTCCAAAGCCTTGATGGCGGCTAAGGCCAGCCGCTCTGAAGCTTTGGCTGCCTCAATTTCTTTTTGCGCAGCAAATAGCCTGCTCTCCATTGTGCTTGTTCCAGCCTTTGCTTGTTCTGCTTCTTCTTTGGCCTTTCGTAGCTCTTCACGAGAATGTTCAGCAAGCGACTTTGCTTCATCAGCCTCTTCTGCGGCTTGCTGAAGTTGCTTGGGTAGCTCCACCATTTTTTTTCTCGCTTCTTTCTCCTTTAACTGAACAGAAGCTATTTCGGATTTCGTTCTGTAGATCTCAGCTTCTAGAGAAGCAACAGCTATGGAGGCCATCGCTTCTCTTTGTTTGATTGAGGTAAGAGCAGACTTTTCTTTCACAAGTTCTAATTGCAAAGAAGTGGAAGCTACTTTTAAGCAATTCACTTCAGCAGCTGCTTTGTCGATATTGACATTGACTTCTTCAAGTTCGTTCTTTGCAGAGGCAACAGATGCATGTAAATCTGGATGACTCATGTTTTCTGTCGGAAGATCGCTGTTTTTGATTGAGTCACATGATTCCTGCTTTAGCTTGGATTCCATATAAGCTACTAATTCCGCCTTCAAATCAAGAAGCAATGCTGAGGCAGTGTCAAGCTTTGATTTTAAATCATTCGACGAAAGTATCTGTTGGTTAAGTTTTTGGACTTTTTCTTCCGCTTGCTTCAGTTCTTTCTCCCAGCGGTACCTATCCTGGTCTCTGGCCATGGCTGCTCCAATCCTCTGTTCTTCAGCCTCCAAATGTGAAGCATGTGCTGACTCCAGTGACTCCTTTGTAGCTATCAGCTCAATGGTGAGTTCTTCAACTCTCTTCTCAACTTCTTTTGATGCCAACACTGCTTCTTCAACTTTCTTTGCGGCTGCATCTTTATCTTTCACCAGAGCATCATATTCCTTGTGCAGACTTTCTAGCTCCTCTTTGACAGAATGCAATTCTTTAACTGCTGATGTATGCCTCGCTTTGGCCACCTCAAGCTGCGCTTTAGCTGCAACACTCAATTCGTCAGATATTCCTTGTTCCATCTCTTCAACCCTCAGCTTAGCAAGCTCTGAGTCCTGCCTCGCCTGTTGTTCTTCTGTTTGTGCCCTCTCAAGATTAAGCTTCAACTGTTCAATGATTCTCTTTGTGCTTTCTAGCTCCTTAAGCATTTGCAGTTTTGCAGTCTCAGCCAAGTCCGAGTGTGATTTGTACTCAGGAATCTCGTCCTGGATCTTTTTAAGCTCGTCTTCTATAAGCTTGCGTCTCTGGAAAAAACGTTCAGGAATAAGGTCAACAAGAAACACAAACAGAATGAGAAATAATACAGATTTATATGTCTTTAGCAGTATACCCTTACTGCTTGCATTCGGTGGGATTTCCAGTCAGTAATTCCTCCAAATTTTGAGACAGCTTCTTTAACAGATTCAAATGGTGCTGCAGTATCGATTAAACCTCTATATGAGTCCATATTTTTGGGTGTTCCAGTGCTCACCGGTGATCCTGAGAATCTTGGAGACGAGAGCGCTCTAGGAGATCCAATATTTATAGGAGATAATAGAGTTCTAGGTGATCTACCATTTCTTCCTGTAGCCTCGGTAATCGTTACACGAGGTAAACCAATTTCACCCGTAACTTCATTTGGCTCCGACACTTCTTCAATGATAGTTTTATTGGGACTTTCTTTATCGGTTAACCCCGCGGCAAGTGCAGCATCAGAAGCAATAACTGATTCTTCAGAATTAGAGAAACTGGATGCCAGAAATGTGTCATCGACATAAATTTTGGCAATGCCAGTTGAGCCATCTGTTTGAGATTGTTGAACATCTTTAGAATTCTCAACCTCTGTTGAAGATTCTATATAAGAATCTCTAATGGCTGATACGTTAAACTCAGGATTAACTGTTGCAGCATTACCACTAACCACATCTGCGCCCACAGTAGGCTCATATGCTCCAAATGGTTCTGCACGGCTTTCAACTTTAGCGGTTTTTAACTCTGCCATTCACGTATAACCTGAGATTACTACAAAACTAAAGATTGTCAAAAATATAGAAACATCTTAAAACAAAAAGACACTAAAGTTGAAGACATCATGAAGATGAAGTGGCATACTAGTTTTACTAAGAAATTAGATCGTTTACATAACTAAACGAAAGAATATATAACGAAAAATCTTTTCACAAACTACACAAAGAACGAAATGGTATTAGTTTTTGTTGTTAAGTCCAACATAAAACAAGAGCACTAGCACAAAACACTAAGTTATATGTTTTAGTCTCGGGAAAACGCTATCAAGAAGAGCTTTTACGGATAAAACAGAAATGTATATGATGAGCAAATATAACTTCAAAGCACTAATTCACTAAGTGAATGTAAATACATAGCAAAATTCTTGTTTCAGTGAAGTAATAACGCAGAAAAAAAAATGGAATTCAAGTATGAAACATAGGCTTAACACGTACTCTCATCAGGATCATCATCTTTTGTGTCAACAAATTTCCAAACGTAATGATATAATTACCAATTACAAGATTTAATAGAATTTTGGGACAAAAAACTACGACCACAAAAGACAGAGATTTACTTTTACTGCTATGCAAATCCATATCAATGATTCTATAAAGAACTAAGACATAATTCCGAAATTCAAAAATACCAACAATAACTTCATGATCGAAAATCAAATATTGAAGAAATAATTCTGAATTTTTAGCTTAGGAAAACTTATAAATATGATATAAAGCGACGGAACCCAGAAAAGAAAAAGTTCGATTCAACAAACAGCCGAGAAAGAAAGTCTTACGATGATGATCGGAGGTATTTGAAGAATATAATTGGTTATTGAAATAAAAGTTTCAGACAGAGGTGGGAAAATTCGCTGAGGGACAGAAATTTGGAAGAGAATCGCGGTCGCGATGACAAATCATGAAGCTCTTCCTCTCATCCTCATCTTCTTCATCCATCTGTCATTCTCTCTCTCATAATTCTCGGTTTGTTTGTCTCTCTTTTTTTAGTTTTTTATTTGGATAACGCATTTTTAGTTATTTAAATATTACTTTGGAAAAGAAAAATCAGTGGTCTCTTTCATTTATCACTTCGATGGCCATTTATAATGCCCCAATTGCCGCCATTACTCTCTCTTGGCTTCATACTCCATCTTCGTCCAACAGTTTTTTGTCTGAAAGGCTCCAAAGATTTGTTTACTACCCTCAATCACCGAATGATTTTTTTTCGTGTTTTGTTTACATTCGCAGTGAGAGATCCTAAACTTGCAAATTAAAACTAACTTGATTTAGGATCTTTAATGACTTTTTAAAAAGAATAACAAATTCAATAAATATTTATTTATTATCTTAAATCTTTTATTAAAATAAATAAAATGGAAATTCGAAACGTGTTAACAATAAATCAAATATTAAATATTTGAAAAATACTACAATAAATATAATTAAATATTTATTATAAATAATTAAATAAATATACTCATGATCTCCGGAAACAATATGGCATCAACCGCCATAAATACTACTTTTTAGTCTCACTTAGAAAAAAAGAGAAGTGAGTATTCGGGAAAAAAAATACTCAGTGAGGGTACACTTAAGGAGCACACAAAATTCATAAACACATTATATGATATCGAAATACGAGTATTCATAATATAAATATAGACATTGAATCCACGCAACAATCAACCTAAATTATAATAACTAATTTTATTTTATAATATAATTCTAATATTTTCTAATCCAATAATCATTCAATCATAGCAATCAACACTAAAGACTCTATAACACATTTCCAAATAACTTCCATCAATGGTACTCATTTTCCGCAACCACCCATCCTGGGCTTGACAAGTTACCGGTGTCACCACCCTCAACAGGTCTTGACTATGGCTCGTCACTCCTTTCTCGATCACTACAACTTCACAATATTCAGTCATTCACTGTAAGCCGTCAAACAAAACTGTAAATAGTCATGTTCACAGCATTACAACAACAAGTACTAACAAACCTATCAATCAGGCAACTCAACATTTTCTCTAAGCTCTAGTATCATTTATCAATCACCAATTAACAATCATCAATTATTATTCAAATTCAATATCTATACCAAGCATACACTGATCACTAGACCAGCTAATGCATCAAATGAATCTACTAACTAGTCCTCACCTTAAAAACACCACAAAGTCGAGTCTGAAGAAAAGAAGTTGGTATCCAAGCCCTGTGATACACACAACACAAAAACTAGAGTTTCAGATTCGCAAGTCGAGGTTGTTTCTTGGCCGAAAAGGTACAGCAATAACTTTCGAATTTTCTTTGGAATCTGGATCTGAAAGTTGATCTAGAAAGAAGGATCCGAGAACTACAGATTGGTATGTGGATTGCTATCTGGGTCCTTCTGGATCGACGGAAAATCCTCTCTTAAGTTGGCACTGCGAAACTGGAAAAAATCAGATTTGCAGAATTATTTTATTTTTTGCCAACTTCCAGCTCACCAAACTCTGTTTTACTAAGGTTATGCGATGGAGATGGGGATTCTTCCCCAGATCTATTGTTCATTCTTGTATGAATGATGAAAGACATACAAGAATGCAAAAGAATGAAACAGAAAAGTTAATAAGATAAAAAGGAGAAAGAACAATGGATCTGGGGAAAAATCCCCATCTCCATCGCCTAACCCTAGAAAAACAGAGTTTGGTGGCTCAAAATCTCATTACAGGAGCACACACTCGTTTAGGGCTGCTAAACAATGTATTTATAGGTCATAAGGTCTTCCAGGTCTCATTTAGGGCTTCTCTGAAGAGAAATGGCGAAGTGGGCTTTGATGTTGGGCCTTGTGGCTCGTCCTAAGGTCCACCGGGGGTGAGAGTCTTCCAGGACAGGTAAAACATGTGTTTACCGCGGGTGAGAGTCTTCCGGGACTGGTGAACTGGGTCAACTTGTTCTCTATGTATCTTTTGATTGCACCATTGGATCTTTGTGATGTAAAGTGCTATGGAAAGCTGGTTGTCTCCTCTGGATTGTCTCCAAATTTGAACTGGATCGGACGGTGAGAACGTCTTCATTTGAGGCTTAACTTCTGACGGTCTGACTCTGAGCTAAAAATATGGATTTCTTCTATTTTGCCATCATTTTCCCTAAGTTTCCTGAAAAGAGCCTTGAAACTACAAATACATGAAAATCATAATAAAAAGTTCCTAAAACTAAGTAAAACATTTGAAAAAGCATTTGAAATCAATGGTGAAAAGTAGTCAAAATCAGGTGTTATCAACTCCCCCAGACTTAAGACTTTGTTTGTCCTCAAACAAAACAAAGATCAAATCTGGAAAAATATCATTCAACAAAAAATTGAGAGGGAACTCAAAAATATCAGCAACCATACTTCTAGACCTTAATTATGGACAATGCATCAATCAGATCAAGTCTAGAAAATTTTCACCAAAATACAAACATAACTAGTCCGTTAATCCGTCATGTGATTTTCAGTGGTTCTCATCAAAAAGATATTAAACAAGGCATTCAAGGTTAGGTATCTGATAGACAAGACTTCTTGGGTCTTAGGGCTATCAATCCCCTTGTCAAAGTAGCACTAAAGAGGTATCAATCCAAGAATGTGGTTCTAGACACTAAGCTATGTGATCAGTTTCTCAATTCAAGTGAACAGGTGAGGTTTTGATTGATTAATGACAACTAAGAACTTAAAAGAAGATTAATAGCTAAAGAAATGATCAAACAAGAACTAAGCAATGACAAGTGATGTGAATATGAGATGATGGAAGCATGAGATTCTAGACATGATAGTTGGCTAGGGTGCTTTGGTGCTAAACCAGAAATGCTAATGACAATGATGAGACATGATTTAAATGATTAAGAACTCAAATCTAGATTAATCCTCTCATGAAGGTATTAACCTCTACACTAATCCATTTTCAAACCAAATAATCATTTGTGAAATATGAATCAGTGAGCATTAATAAATAGTTCTAAAAGATCATTCAAGCAAATAACAAGACATCATCATGCAGCAAATGCTTAAACCTCTAATACAGCTCTTTCAGGAATTTCATCAAAAACTTTTGGTGCATGAAATTCCCAGAATCTAGATCTCAAGTGATATGCAAGGATCTAGCCTAGAGAACAGCTGTTTAGAGAGATGAATCAATGAATCTAGTCCTAAGCACTCCTAGTCTAACACTTTAGCACCCTAACCTACACATCTAGAACCTCATTAAGGTGACTACTCACTAATCATACTAATCTCTCTTAAACCTTTGCAAGTTGAGAAGATTGGCATGATTAATGATGAAAAAAGAAGATGGAGGAGATGGATAATGATGGATTTGCAGCTTCAAACACAAAGATCTCTAAAACTCTCTTGATTAAAACTCAAAAGGGATATATTTCTCCTCTTAAGAGGAGTCTTTTCACAAAAAAAGCAAAAAGATGAAGAGAATAAAGCTTGGTCCCTTGGGTAAAACCCTAAAAAACTATATATAAGTCCTTAAACAAACCGGGTCAGCCCGGAACAAACCGGGTCCTGACCCGGCCTTGATGGGTAAATATGAGGTTTGCCACGGTCAGATAATACTTGGACAGACCGTGGCAAAGAGACCGTGTCAAAGTTCAAACGGTTGTTCTTGAAGAAATAGGCTGCCTCGGCTTGAGTTAGACCGTGATGCATGGCCGTGTCATGTCCTTTCTGGGTTTGGATGATGATCATATTTGATTGCCACGGTCTTGCTTGGCTCGTATCTCTTGAGCGTGGCAAAGGAGTGGAACATTCAGTGATTGTCACGGCTTGATGATTGGCCTTGTCTCTTGGTCGTGTCGAGTCCTTTAAGCTTTTGCCGCGGTCAGGTGTAGGCCGTGTCTCTTGACCGTGTCATTCGCCGAAGGTTGGCACTCTGAAGCACCATCTTGCCACGGTCAAGTTTAGACCTTGGAATTCTCCCCGTGTCATTCGCCGCGGTGAAACCTTTTCACGGTTAAGTATGGACCGTGGCGATATGATCGTGTCGTGAGCCTTTGTCTTTCTAGCAAGCATTCGGATGTTGCCACGCCTAAGTGTATGGCCGTGGCACCATAACCGTGTCAAATACCGAGAGACATCATATCATGCCCTGACTAACCCCAGACTATGGTGTTCTCACCATGTCAGAGTATGACACTTAGCGTAATTTCCATCCTTAGACGCCTGATTGACCTGCCTGTCTCCCGCTTTCCGGAACTCACATCTTACAACTCCAAATGACATCAAACCAGGTCCAAGAGAAAGATGACTCATCAAGCTCAAACTTTTCTAAAGAAACCTTTGATTCTTGGCGAGTGGAAGGTTCCCCGGACGGCTCATCTCTGTGATGCATTGAAACGATCAACAAGGAGCTCTTGGACCAGTGTTCACTCCGGAGACTGTATCTTTCAGCACATAGCTCCAAACTGGATTATCTAAGATGTTCTAGAAAGAGAATTTAAAGACATAGAATCTTGATGAAGACCTTGGCAGCTGAATCAGAATGGAAAGGAATCAGCCCACGCAATCTCTGTGATTCATCGGACCAGTCTTGAAACTGTAGCGAGACAGGTGTGCCTTCCGGTGAGCTTAACTCTTTGATCACAACTCCAAATAAAATGATTTCACCTGTCCAAGATCCGTGACCTGATCAACTCCAACTTTTCTGAAAACTCTGTAATCTGAATCGGACGTTAAGACTTCCCAGACAGGCGATCTTTCCAGACGTATGTGATTGTTCCGGAACGGATGCGAGAGAGGTCTGTCTTCCGGTGGCCGTATCTTTCAGCTCGGTGCTCGAAACTCATCGATTCCAACTGTTATGAGATTTAGACTCCATTATCTTGATCTTTTCTGCAGACCCCCGAGGCTAAATCGCCCGGAAAGACCTTCCGATAAGGCGATTTCGGAGATGTATCTGCACCCGGGAATTTCTGCCGAGAAACTTGAACAGCCGATACGCTTTTTGGCCGAGAAATCCACTCGCGGTACATGAGAATAGCCGA